CCCAGCCGGCGAGGGCCACGGCGCGCGGGCTGCTGCGGTCAGGTTGGCCAGCTCGCCTGGGCACGAAACGGGCAGAGCGGCCGCTGTCAGCAGGGAGCCCCCCTCCGGCAGGTCTGACCCTGGGGGGGCCCAGGGCAGCTTCAAAGCCTGCGGTAACGCCCCAGAGACTGTCTGATTGCCTCCGCCAGCGCCATGGGCTGCCCCCACCGTGAACGCTGCGCAGGCCTGGCCGCCTCCCCAGACACACACCTTGGCTTTGGGACGGGGGCAGAAAAAGGCAACAAACATGCGGAGGGGGGTGGCAGGGCTGCACCTGGAGGGAAACCACTCACGGGGAGCTGTGACGGGGGCTATAAAATCATGCCTGGGGTGCAAAAGGCAGGTACAGAAATGCTCTTTACTCCTTAGAACACAAGAATGAGGGTCCCCAAATGAAATGAATGGGCAGCAGATTTAGAATGAACACCAGGCAGTTTTTCTCACACAGTCAACCTGTGGAACTCCTCGCCAGAGGATGGTGTGAAGACCAAGGTTCAAAAAAGAGCTGGCTAAGTTCCTGGAGGACAGGTCCCTTAGCAGGGATGCACCCCCCTGCTCTGGGTGTCTCTAGCCTGTGATGGTCAGAGGCTGGGAATGCTGGATGGCTCCCTGCTCTGGTCACTCCCTCTGGGGCACCTGGTACTGGTGCTGGGAGGTGATGTGCCCGGGGACGGCCGTGGCTGGGCTCTGGGGCCGGGGTCAGAGGGAAGAAGAGGAAGCGCTTGGCGAGAAGGGAGCCGCCAGAGCGGAAGGGGCAGACAGCGGCCTTGCCGCGAGTGCAGGGGACGGCCGGGGGGGCGCAGGCTGTAAATACCCACAAGGCGCTTTAACCCAGCAGGGAGAGCTACGGCAAGACAAGGCCCAGGGCTGAGAGCTCCGCAGTAGCAAGGCGGCGCCATGCGGGTCATAGTCCCCCCGGAACAGCTGGCCCCGGGCGAGTCTCATGTCGGCCGGGGCAGGATGAGCCAGGCTCCGCTCTAACTCAGCCCAGCAGCTCCCTGGCCAGTG